GATAAATATCAAAAATATTTAAATATAAAAAAAATAAATTTTTATATTCATATTTTTATTTTAATTTATATATTTTCTTATTTATTTATCTATTGAAATATGTTTTATATTTATTTTTACATTTTGTTTATTACATTTATATTTATTTATTTATTTTAAAGACATTAACTGGCAAAGTACAGATCAAATCAACAGTATCTATGTACACAAAAATGTTTGTTGTCTGATGTCCAAATCAGCAGCAAACCCGGCGGTAAATCTAAATTTATCTGCTGTTGGTGTGACAGAGTTTAAGCACAGCTGCTCCAAAGGGCAAATCCACTAAACATGTGAAAGTCACACAATCTCTAAATATAACTGCAGCAAACATCAGATCATATTATCATGAACAGATGAGTGTTTTTGTGGTGGAATTCGTCCCATCAGTAACGCACACATTTGTCTCAGACGACACTCATGGACCGTCTGACGCAGACTGAACACAACACTGGAAAGCAGCGTTATTTTAGTATCATTGAGATACTATTATAGTTTTTGCTGATATTTTGAATTCGTTTTGATTTTTATATTTTCGGTTTTCATTTAAATTTTAGGTAAAGTTTTAGTAAATTTAGTAAAAAATATGTCTATACATTTATTTAGTTTTAATTATTTTAGTACAATTTTTTTTTATATTTTATTTTATTTCAGTTAAAAAATATTGTATTTAGTTTTTTTTTTAATGGTTTTAATTTGAGTTATTTTAGTATATCGAGTTAAACTAAATGGAAATGAAAAATGAATAGCTGAAATACAATCATTTTAGTTTTTTAAAATAATTTATTTCAGTTAAAGTAAATTTTTTTCAAGTAACAGTTTTTATGGTTTTAGTTTTAATTATTTCAGAACATCAAGTTAAACGAAATGATAATGAGAAATGTCTCGGCAACTATCTGAAATAAAATAAGTTTAATTAATAATTTATGTTTTATTTTATTTCAGTTAAATTTTATTTTATTTTTAAGCAACAATTTTTTTTAATGATTTTAGTTGAAGTTATTTTAGCATATAAAGTTAAACTAAATGGAAATGAAAAATTTTGTCTTGTTGACTAGCTGAATTTTTTATATTTAATTGAAGTTTATTATTAAAGTTTTTTGTATTTAATTTTATTTCAGTTAAAGCTTATTTTATTTCTAAAGGTTTTTATCGCTTATACGTCAAGTTTATCTAAATAAAAATGATACATTTTGCCTTGGCAATTATCTGAAATAATTCTTTTTTTTTAAATTTTATTTTATTTCAGCTAAACTTGTTTAATTTCAAGTAACAAAAGTTTTTTTATAGTTTTAGTTTTAATTATTTTAGTACATCAAGTTACATTAAATGAAAAAGAGAAATGCTGGCAACTGGCAAAAATAAATTAAGTTTTTTATTTTATTTTATTTTTATTAAAGTTACAAATGTTTTTTTTATTGTTTTAATTTTAACTATGTCTGTACATCAAGTTAAACTACATGCAAATTAAATGGCAACTAGCTGGAAAAAAAAGTTTTTTTTTAAGTTTGTTAACTATTTTGAGTGTTTACTATTGTCCTTTTGCCTTATTGACACTATATTCCTATTTTGATACTGTAAAGCTGCTTTGACACAATCTGTATTGCTAAAAGCGCTATATAAATAAAGGTGACTTGACTTGACAATAATAACCCTGCTGAAATTGGCAGTTTCAGTCGGTCTCACATTGAGTTGTTCTGTGGGAAAAGCGCCGATCCCGACTCTAGTGGTATAAGCCTTTGACACTCCGTACACGTCGCCGATGTTCGCCGGCGGGATGCCGAGGCCTGTGCACACACCGCCCACCGTGCAGTTGGACGACGTCACAAACGGGTACGTTCCTACAGAGAAGACAAACCACTGTTTGAGCCTGACATCTCCCACAGTTCACACACACACACACACACACACACACACACACACTCACACACACACAAACACACAGACACACACACGCACGCACACACACTCACATACACACTCACACACCTACACATCCTCACCGAAGTCGATGTCCAGCAGCGCCGCGTTTGCTCCCTCCACCAGGATTTTCTTCGGTAGTCCGTGAATTGCATCGTACATGAAATAGACGCCGTCCCTGACCAGCGGTCTGATCCTCTCGGCATAGTCCTGTGAAGGAGCTCGGGTCAGAGACAGCAGTGTAACACAGCGCATGTGTCTGCTGTTCAACTGACCTTCAGCTTCTTCAGCTCGCTCTCCACGTCCACTTTCAGAGCCGGATACATGGACTGATACTGCAGCACCAGGTTCTTCACCCTTCAGGAGCGAGTTACCAACACTTCAGATCATCAGCGCTGATATGAGCAGCACTGTAAGTAGGGCTGCACGATAAATCCAAATGAAATCGCAATCGCGATTAAGCAAAATCTGCGATTGTCATGCGTATCTTGTCAGTGAAGCACGGTAATAATAATAGTAATAATACTACAAATTCTACAGATATGAGCATTATAAAACGCACTAAGGATTAACGAGCTGCTGGGTTCATGAATATTAATCAGGTCGTGTGCGTTCGCTTCAACTGATTCGCTGAAATCAAAACAGGGATGATGATAGGTGAGTGCCAGCCAATGAGACTGTCGTTTGCGCATTAGCTCCGCCCACTACCGGAAAACCCGGCAGTTTCAGCTTCTTCAGCTCGCTCTCCACGTCCACTTTCAGAGCCGGATACATGGACTGATACTGCAGCACCAGGTTCTTCACCCTTCAGGAGCGAGTTACCAACACTTCAGATCATCAGCGCTGATATGAGCAGCACTGTAAGTAGGGCTGCACGATAAATCCAAATGAAATCGCAATCGCGATTAAGCAAAATCTGCGATTGTCATGCGTATCTTGTCAGTGAAGCACGGTTCTGTGATCAGTAGTAAATCTCCATCTGAAGGCCAGAGAAACTCCTAATACGCCCCGCAGAAGAAACCCAGGAAATCCCTACAGCGCTAGCTGAATAAACAGAAGATTTAACGGCTTTCATTGATTCAACGTGACTAATAAACACACGACTACGACAATATATGATTTATCCGAGTTCTTATTATTATAATTTTTCTTATAATAAAGATGAGCATTATAAAACGCACTAAGGATTAACGAGCTGCTGGCTTCATGAATATTAATCAGGTCGTGTGCGTTCGCTTCAACTGATTTGCTGAAATCAAAACAGGGATGATGATAGGTGAGTGCCAGCCAATGAGATTGCCGTTTGCGCATTAGTTCCGCCCACTACCGGAAAACCCGGCAGTTCTTAAAAGCTAAAGAACTCCAAAGGAACTAAGTTATTTTGACAGGAAAATACAACAAAGAATATCGTTTACATGTAGCGCGTCAGTGCTGCATGCTATGTACAGTAAGACTCTCTCTCTCTCTCTGCTCTCACCAAAGCGAAGACGAGTCGTGCGCCGTTACACTAGAGTTTACGTTGCACCAAATACAGGTGTGCTGCGCATCTATTGAGATTAGTTGAAAAATAGCACAGATCGCTTGACGGAGAGTGAAACTCTGAAGCGCTCAGTCAGAGTGTTCGGCGAGTGAAAATATATCTGTGCTAAACTTATACTTAGCCTCCAACTCACACTGGCGAGTAAAATCTGAGAATTTATTAGCCATTGGCTAATATTAGACATCATTTAGTCGCCCGGAGTGAAGATTTAGTCGCATATGTGAGTGATTTACTCGCAATGTAGAGAGTTGCTATGAAATATGTTGCATGCCTATTTCTGTGTAAGAAGCCACATAATCTCACATAAGGATTTATTTCACGTTATGAAGTGAGTTTGGAGTAAAAACATGTTATTAAATGTGGTATTTTCACGTGCTTTCAGATGTAGCAGCATTTACTACACAGAGCCGTAGTTCACTGACGAGCTACGCAAACAGCTGTCATTATCACAGAACGATATCTTCGATTTCATTATTGCTCGATTAAATCGTCTGTGATAATGAACGCGATATTGCGCAGCTTGTCAGTGAACTACGGCTCTGTGTAGTAAATGCGGCTCCATCTGAAAGCATGTGCTGGAGATTTACTACTAATCACAGAACCGGCTTTACTGACGAGATGCGCAAGACAATTGCCTTCGATTAATCGTGCAGCCCTAACTGTTAGCAATGTTCTCTCTAAGCACTTCTCAAGTCACGACCACACAGAATAAAAAACATGCCGCACACATGCAAAAATGAGTTGGGAAAGCCAATTGATTGCCTTTTAGCAAAAGCGAAATAATTGCAATGCTCGGGCAAATCGCTATAGAGTTGGTGTCACTATAGAGTTAGAACCAGTGAATGCGGTTTACATGTTGCATAGAAAGAGAATGATGTGCTCCAAATGAGCCGCTGTAGAAATCGAGTGCTTTAATGGTTGCGGACAAAATAGCTCAACACGAGCTAAACGCTCATTTGCCAATGCAAACCAACGACATGTGAAATAAAACGTCATCATGTTTGATTAAATGTCGGAAATAGCGGATGATGGGCACAGAACGGTAAAACAAAATATATATTATACTTTATTATACTATATTATTATAAAGAGCTGAACTGTACTGTGTGAAATGCTTTTTAATAGAATTTCTTGGTAACACAGCACTGTAAAAAATGTTTTCTCAGGTAACCTAAAATGTGTATCATTTAGTTACATCAAGGGTCACATCAAATATAAATAGTGCATTAAACATAAAAGTTACACACTTTCTTGTGTGTGTGCTCTGTACAGGTCTGGTATAAAGAATGTTTTTGCTCAGATGGCTGAAATGTCCGCCCTATAGAGAAAAGTTTTGCTCAGCAAGAAAAAAAATTTGAGGGAACATTGACCACAGGTATTCATTTTTGTGTTCCTTGATGTGCTTTTTTTAATTCTCCAAAACAGGTAGCCACTGATTTGCATTTTATGATCACCAAGCACCACAGTTTCAGCTAAAAACTTTACTGTTCTACTGAAGATAAAAAGTCAACTACATCTTGAAAAGCCTGAAGATGAGTAAATTAATATCAAAGTTTCTTTTTTGGGTGAACTATCACTTTAATCCTGTTCTGTACACACACATTTCAGTAATATATGGAAGTGACAACTGCATTCTACAGCCAAATCAAAAATAAGGTAGTGAACGTTATAGCAACACTTAACAACATGCTAGAAATGCCTAACAGTCAACGGAGAATGGCAATTACTTATGTCTAAAGTGGTTTCTTAGATATCTAATAAGGTTCTTACATGTTTTTCTATTAAAATATTCAGTTATTTGTTCAATGAACACATTTATCCTAACTTATACAGCACTGAAAGTATACATTTAGGAGTCTGAATAGATCTAATGAGGTCTGGAGTAATCTGATGGGGTCTTTAGGGGTTCTGATATGGTCTAATAAAGTCTGTCAGGATCTCATGCGTTTTTGTGTTAAAGGTTATGACGTTTTGTAAAACCAACAGTAAAGTTTGTCAAGACAAACTCTATATATCCTTACATTTTAAAAATACTTTTATTTAAATATTCAGTTATTTGTTTAATGAACAAATTTATCCTAACTTATACAGCACTAAAAAGTATACACTTTAGCAGTTCATGCATTTCTCGGGAACTGAGCCTTTGACCTCTGGTTACAGAAACATTTCACACTAGAGTTTACGTTACGCCAAATACACAAACACAGGTGCGCTGCGCATTCATTCAAATGAACTGAAAAATATCACAGATCGCTTGACGGAGAGTGAAACTCTGAAGCGCTCAGTCAGAGTGTTCGGCGAGTGAAAATATATCTGTGCTAAACTTATACTTAGCCTCCAACTCACACTGGCGAGTAAAATCTGAGAATTTATTAGCCATTGGCTAATATTAGACATCATTTAGTCGCCCGGAGTGAAGATTTAGTCGCATATGTGAGTGATTTACTCGCAATGTAGAGAGTTGCTATGAAATATGTTGCATGCCTATTTCTGTGTAAGAAGCCACATAATCTCACATAAGGATTTATTTCACGTTATGAAGTGAGTTTGGAGTAAAAACATGTTATTAAATGTGGTATTTTCACGTGCTTTCAGATGTAGCAGCATTTACTACACAGAGCCGTAGTTCACTGACGAGCTACGCAAACAGCTGTCATTATCACAGAACGATATCTTCGATTTCATTATTGCTCGATTAAATCGTCTGTGATAATGAACGCGATATTGCGCAGCTTGTCAGTGAACTACGGCTCTGTGTAGTAAATGCGGCTCCATCTGAAAGCATGTGCTGGAGATTTACTACTAATCACAGAACCGGCTTTACTGACGAGATGCGCAAGACAATTGCCTTCGATTAATCGTGCAGCCCTAACTGTTAGCAATGTTCTCTCTAAGCACTTCTCAAGTCACGACCACACAGAATAAAAAACATGCCGCACACATGCAAAAATGAGTTGGGAAAGCCAATTGATTGCCTTTTAGCAAAAGCGAAATAATTGCAATGCTCGGGCAAATCGCTATAGAGTTGGTGTCACTATAGAGTTAGAACCAGTGAATGCGGTTTACATGTTGCATAGAAAGAGAATGATGTGCTCCAAATGAGCCGCTGTAGAAATCGAGTGCTTTAATGGTTGCGGACAAAATAGCTCAACACGAGCTAAACGCTCATTTGCCAATGCAAACCAACGACATGTGAAATAAAACGTCATCATGTTTGATTAAATGTCGGAAATAGCGGATGATGGGCACAGAACGGTAAAACAAAATATATATTATACTTTATTATACTATATTATTATAAAGAGCTGAACTGTACTGTGTGAAATGCTTTTTAATAGAATTTCTTGGTAACACAGCACTGTAAAAAATGTTTTGTCAGGTAACCTAAAAATGTGCATTATTTGGTTACATCAAGGGTCAAATTAAATATAAATAACACATTGCAGTTTTTTTCAACTGCTTACACACATTTTCAAAACTTTGCCTCTTTTTTTTTTACTTTACACACAAATCCAAGAATTGCACACACAAAATGCAAAATGCCTCACATCTCTTGCAAAATGAAGCACTGCATTCAAAATATCACAAACACATCTCAAAAGCAAACATTTGCAAACACCTTTGCCATAATATCAATTCCTGTTAGATTTGTGTGTGTTACATAGAGAATCGTGTGTTGTGTTTTGCAAAAAGTGTTTTATGAAATTGAAAAGGCTGAGAATTAGTGTGTGGTTCTGCAGATTTGGTGTGTGCTTCTGCTGTTTGAGTGTCAGCTTTCAGAAACTGTGTGACAAGTAAAGATTTTGTGTGCAAGCAGCTGAAAAAAACTGTAATAGAATTTCTTGGTAACACAGCACTGTAAAAAATGTTGTCTCAGGTAAACTAAAATGTGCATCATTTGGTTACATCAAGGGTCAAATTAAATATAAATAACACATTAAAGTTAAGAGTTGCTGTACAGGTCTGGTAGACCGTTTAGCCAATCACAACACACTGGGCTAGCTAACCAATCAGAGCCCATCGCCTATTTCTGAGGGCGGGGCTTCATAAAAGCAGGAAATGATCAGCTCGTTTTTCAGAGAAGGGACAGAGCGGTGTGGAATAAAGGTAAATAATGTGAAAATAATGTTTTTTTGTTTTTTTTAAACAAAGCATTAACACATGTTAGACTGCACCCCGTAAACACAATCAAGCCTAGAAAAAACCAGTGAACCACCCCTTTAAAGTTAAGAGTTGCTGTACAGGTCTGGTACACAGAATGTGTAAAAAACGTTTTCTCAGGTAACCTAAAAATGTGCATCATTTGGTTACATTAAGGGTCAAATTAAATATAAATAACACATTGCAAAATTAAATAAAAAATAACACATAATAAACACACTTTCCTGTTTATCCTTTTTGTTGGGATAAACAGGAAAGTGTGTCCAGCTGAATTCAATTTAAGTTTTGTTAAACTAATTAAAAAGAAGCTTAGTTTACCGCGGAAGCGGTCGCGGTCGTGTGCAGACCGAAGAGTGTAAAGACCATCGACTCCACCGTGCGACTCCACCGGGCAGGACACCGGCAAAGGACATAAGTATCGCTTTTTATCTCTCCTCTTTCCACTTCTGTTTCAGGTTTTCATAAACTATTTCTTACTATGCGTCACCAAGTTGT